CATGTTGACAGCTCAAAGACAAATAGCAAGACAACAAAGACTGCATCAAAGATAAATAAAAAGCTACAGTTATTCAGTGGTCAACTTCCCACAGCCACAGGGAGAGCACAGAAGAGTGTTATAACTGTGTATGTGTGGAGACACAGCAGGAGAGGGACTGGCAGTGCAGTGAGTAGCAGGAATTAAACAATGGAACGCTGTGGTGAAAACATCCACAACCAGAGAAGCAGCGGCTGCATCACCAACACACTACTGCAGCCCACGCAGAGACCTCTGCACACCGCTCCGTCCCACAGAAACGTCTGTGTGCTGGTCCCCGACAGCAGCGTCAGGGAGGCCAGCCAAGGGCACAGCACCCATTGCTGAGTATTTATGTGATCCCACTGGCTCTGGAACAAAGCACCACTGTGGAGAAGCTTCCAATCCACGAACTGTCGTAGCACAGGATGTGCATCCTCACGTTATCACCTGCAACCAGGAGTCATCAAAAATCCCTTATCCATTTATGATTTTAATTAGCAGTAGCACCTGATGGAAGTATGAAACCGGAACAGAGGTAGGGACCTCTTCAACATCAATACAGAAACTTCCATCTCCTGTTCAGCTGAGTGACAAACTGTCAAAACACTTATAGTACTGGGTGTACAAACAATGTGGTACTGCAAGAAATTGTGTGATTTAGCGTTAGAACAGAGAAACAAAAAATACAGGTAACAAATAAAAAATACAGTGTCCCAAAATTGCACTATGTGAACTGTTACACACAGCAAAAATAGAGATATAGAAAAACTCTATAATTATACAAACAATGCTCATTCAATATGATTTTATGGGGGAGAGTGTTGATAATTGTATTTAAGCAGATAACAAATATAAATGCTAATGAGTTCCACTGTATATTATAAGAGATGTCTTGTCTAGATAAACATGTCGGAACACCTCCTAGTCATACAGACACTTTGGCATCTACTCTAGATCACCTGTCTAATCCAAAGTACACAAATGTACTCTGGATTCCGACCTTCCCTTGCTAAACAAGAACAGAAGATATTTTGCAACAAAGCAAAAGTGTGCAGCTCAGCCTTCTTGCTCATTTTCAGCCTTCGATTCTCCATCTCTGACTCTCCTCTTCCTTCCTTCTCTCCCTGTCTCCTCTATTTATAAACTCTTTATACCAATTTTGATCTTCCCTGAGAACCAGTTGTGAAGCATTTGTCAATTTCAAATCCAAGTGTATTTCCTTTACCCAAAGACCTCACCTGATCTCAGTGCAGTAATAAAGACACTATGGACCCCAAGTTGTTGTGATGTCATCACATACATATTATAAAGAAATTAATTTTATCATTTTTTCCATGTCTTGTTCTACAGTTTTTCTGTAGTTTTGTACTTCTGTACATTTCCATATGTGTTGGAGACTTTCAGTGACTCCAGAAATAAGAGATTCCTTTTTTGTTTGTTTTTTCCTTCTTCAATCCTGTACATCACAGAAACGAGAATAATTTTACTGGATTTTGCCTGCTTTGCTAACCTGAGAAGCCTTTCTTTGCCATCCATTGTCTCCACGGAGTAGACAGATTTTCTTCCATGGCCATCCAGTGCTGTGTCCACTCTGTGTGTTTTCAGGTTCCAGACATGGATAAACCCATTCTCAGACCTGGCAGTAAGAACAGATGCTTTTAGTGTGACCGCTGCAGAGAATCTGGTAAGACAGTCTGGTCCTGTCCTTTTTCTTTTTCTTTTTTTTTTTTTTTTAAAAAAAACCAAACAACAAAACCAAAACCAGAAGCTGTATGTACAAAGCTAACACACCCACCATTCATCAGTCATGCATTTTGTTGTTTCTGCAGATGCAATTTATTTAAATAATACACTTTCTTTTAAAAGAAAATGTCCATGTGATGCTCAGCTCAGCCAGAAATCCTGGTTCACTTACCCAGAGAAAAGAACGGGGACATCAGGTTCTTGGCCACCACAGGAGAAATGCAGAGTGTGGACAGCAGCACTGGTACCTCTGAGAACAAACTGTGGATCTGGAGGTGGCAGAGCCATCCGATCAGTGAGCTGGGGGAGCGAGAAGAAGACACAGATATCATAGAGGGTAAGGCAGCCTAAAGTGAAATTACAACTTTAAATATATTCCGAACAGGACGTCTGCTTTTCCCAGTCACTTTCCTCTTTGAATTACCATTGTTGGCTGTTATTTCTATTTACCAGACAGTTCAGTGTAAAGTATTTCCTCTTAACATCGACTGCTCAAGCATCTGTCAAATCAGCTTTTTGCTGCTTTCCTTTTTAAGCAAAGTAAGTGCTGTAAGGCCATGTGTATGCACCTCTCACGCACCTGTAAATACAAAATTGTTCAGCTGCTCTCACTGCTGCAAAAAGGAAGAGCTACAAAATGCAAGAAACTGGATACCCATAATTTCAGTGGGCAAGCAATTTATCATTCCACTTAGCCCCTTGGCAAGTCTTTCCCCTTCCTCCCCATAAAAATACTATTTTTGCATTTTCCACTCACAGGTATTTACAGAAAAGCACTGCAGTGAACATAGCAACTGAAAAGAATTTCAGATGAGATTAGAGTTATGATAATTTTTACACAAGAAATCCATTACTCCCAAGTGTGAGGTTTTGGTTCCAAGCATGGTTACATGAAAAAAGAAATGCAGTATTTCACAGTAACTTAGTGACTACTGTGTTAAATATTTTATTCTAGGGGCTTTGTATTCCCCAAAGGATCAATAAAGAGAGACTTTTCAATAAGAAAGGATCAACAGGATCAAAATAAAAAAAAAAATCAAAGGGATTTAAAAATTGAAAGGATCAATAGGAGAGACTGCTTCCAGCTTTATGTCATTGGTTCAAATGTGGTCCGAGTCAGCAACGAACAGGATGAGTATATGGGGAGGCATGTACCCGTCTAACATGGGAAACGTGAAGGAGGATTTATTACAAGCTCCGAGGGACAGTGTGTGTGATCCGATCAGGCACGTTCTTACTCATCTGGCACCTGCACCAAGTGCTGCCAGGCTCCTGAGCACCTTTGCAGGCAGTTGTGCACAAGCACCAAAGATGGACAAGGATGACTTGTCTGTGTTCTGACTCGCTGCAAATGACCTTCCACACCTGTGCAGGGACAAGGTAACCAGCAGCTTCTTTGACTCTAAGGACAATCTGCAGTTCACTGGGAAATGCATTATAACATGCATTACGAGAAATGTTTTCACCCTGAAAAGTCTGTACTGCTTTAGCTGTGACATTACTGACCATGCTTGTATTTCTGCTTCCTTTCTCATCTGGCCTCGTAGAGAAAACGACAGCTTTTGCCACTACAGGTGTCAAGGCTCTTTCCCATTCATGCACATATTAGACCAGATTAAACAAGGAGTTCTTTACATTCAGCAAGGGAAGATCAGCAGGGTTCTTCTGCCTGCTGGTTCACATCAGAGGAACTGCAGAGAATCAGAACAGAGCGCTAGAGCTACAAGTTACATGGTAAATTAAAACAGATCAACATCTCACCTCAGTATCAGCTTCTGAATTGTGTTTAATGGATGCACTTGCTATTGCACCTCATTTGCAGGACTGCCTTGAGTGTTTATAGATCAGTAATCACCATGGTATCTATAGGTCCTAATTAAACACAATTATCTTTTGGGACTAGTGATGAAACAGGATTCTTCAGCATAATGTGCAGTTCTCCCTCAATAGCACTGTGTAATTAGGTATGAAAATAATGAGCTCAGTGGATAACCTTCATGTTTTAGTGTCCTGACTCATCTGTTTTATGATGTTGTCTGATGATCTAGACTCATGACAGGCTGGAGTACATTTTCAGATGATTACATGATGTACAGGTTCGCCCCCATGGTGAGATCCAGCACCCAAGTGCCAGTCTGTAACATGCTTCCCCTGTGTTATAAACCTGTTAGACTAAGGGTTTTGTCACCAAAGGTCACCTCTTTGGGACACCACAGCTGTATGCTGTCGCACTCAAAATGACACTTGGTAGAACCAGGTAAATGAAATAGTAGCTGGGCGGCTTGTCAGGGGAGCGGGGTCCTGCTTCACGGTGGAATGATCCTGGGTTACTGCTCTGAGCAAGGAAGACAGAATAGAACTGAGCCAATCCAGAGGCTACTGGGATTACAAGGCAGGTTTTAATAGCATTTTTCTAATTACTGACACACAAGTTTTTTGCTGACAGACAGCAAGTGTGTGCGTGGCTGTGGGAAGGGTTTTACCTGGCATGAAACAGACGCTAGTAATGCATGTCTTTACAAGGACAGTATTTCAGAAAGATCCTCAAACTGGCTACAGAAAAAAAACCCAACTGAAAACATACTTTCAAGCTGTAAGCAAATGAAGGGACTTTTTGCTCCTTGGAGCCTGTATTTTTGCTTGCTTTTTTGGTAATTAGATATGTGAATCTGGAAATCTGGGTTAATGTTAAACCCATGTCATTTTTTATTGGGCATACAAGATGACTCCTTATTACTTCCTATCATGAGTCAGCAGATGAACGGCAACATGACAGTATTAAGCGTCTCATTTTTCTTCCAGCGAGTGCTGAACTATAAAATTGCATCTGTGCTGTCTTCTTCATCCGTGAGCTTGGAGAAGTCACGTAAGACTAAGATTTAATTAAAAGTTCTTATGTACCTAAATCAAAGGAAAGTCCCATGGGGTCACAAATAGATGGAAATGTGGTGCACTGGTACCTTAAAACTCCAAGAAAGCATCCACCTGTTCCTGTAGACACATAACCATCCTCAAAAAATGACATTAGCTCACCTTCAACTCGCTGGGTAGCTCAGTGTCTGCCCCTTACTTACAGGGACAGTGAAATACATTGTGATATACTGATACTAACAGATAATGGTTATACCTTGCTTTGCTAAGCAGACAGCTACAAACATGCTAAATATGATGACTCTGCGACGGTTAAAATGCCCTGGGCAAATTTTTCAAAAGTGCCTAAGTGATTTAGAAGCCTAAGACTCATTTTCAAATGAATTTTCAATCCTAAATCTCTAGGACTTTTTAAAGTTTCACCCCAGGTGTCTGAAAATGAGTTCTCTAATTAGTACAACATTTATTTTCTTGTTAACTCCATCTAGCCTCAGGGAGACCAATCTGTTCTTGTTAACTGGGGATATCTGCAGCGAATTTAATTAAATGAATTTGCTTAGTATTTAGGCTGGTCTGGGAGCAAAATCTGGCTCAAGGGCTTGGAGAAGCAAAGTGCAACCTATAGAAGAAAGTTCATTTAAAAGCATCTTAGGGCTAGACTGTATGTTTGTCCCTGAGATATCCTCATGCGATGAACTCCTGCCTCCTATGAAAGGATGTTAAAAGACAGGAATCATTTTGCTTATGGCATTATTTGTTTGCAAGAGGCTATCACCAGTAAGAGATGCAGCACCTTATCATCACACTCTTGTTTTTTAGAAGATGTTCCACTTTTTATTTCTCCCAGCCTTCCCTATGCAGGTATCAGCATCCTCCTTCAGGGGCTGAGTTACACTCCAATATGGTATGGGCACGTAAAAGTATTTTTCACAAGGTGCACTGTAGACTCTGGGGCTCCTGCACAGATTATATTTGCTGCATGAGCAAGAAGTAGAAAACCCAGCTGTTCAAATTAGTGTTTCAATTAGCAAATGGCTTTGCACACCACATATTAGGTACTAAAAAGGGTTTTGTAAAAAAAAAATAAAAAAAGAAAAAAAAAGCTTCTACTAAATGATAGAAAAAAATTGCCTTCAGAATCACGTTATTTTAAAGAAAAAATCACTATTACTATCCCTAACAAAACTCAGTTTGTTTAGGTTGCAATTAGAATAATCTTCAAACTATTTAAATGTCTATGCAGTGATATTCCAGTATCATCACTTCAGCATTTGCTATAAAAAGTTAAGCTTTTATTTAATGAGAGTCATTTAAAATATGTAAATGTCAAAAGGATTACCTTAGAAAAATCTCTCAGAGAATTAAAAACATTAACAGATTCCCACAGGAAAAATTCCAGCAGAATTCAGCAACTCTCCTGTTCCCACTCCTGTCACTTGTATTTCTATCACACATTGAAGCAAAAACAAATTGCTATTAAAATATCGTCCAAACACCCCCGCACCCCCCAAACTCTACAGTTCAGTTTGAGATACTGATGGCTCAAGCAAAGACAAGAAAAAAATCTTCTTTTTTTCTTTAGGCTTATTTAAAGCAGTAAAAACACAGTGGTAAAAGAGCTTTTTCAGGTATCGGAGAAATAAATCTCTCTAGGCATGTCTGGCAAACTGATTTGGGATTGAAACCAGCAGGTGTGCAGATATAATTACTACTGCAAAATATTCAACACATCCAGGTGTCCTCACAAACAGCTATATGAAATCCCTGTTATTTTTTGAAAATTCCTAGTCTACCAGGTGCCACCCTCCCAAAGGAAAAATCAGAGCAAAGAACGAGTTGAAAAAGATGAGAATAAATTGTTCTTCCCCCTTTCCAAGCTCTTTTTCATTCATACAAAAGCCCTTTTTTAGCCTGCACCTCTGTGCCCACCTGCGCTCCCTCCAAAGCTCTGTGACACTGCCATGTCGGACGGTGCAGCGCATGGGGGTGTTTTCAAAGTGGGTCACTAGCTGTAACTGCAGAGGAAGGTGGTGGAAATAAAAGGCTCCCTCAAATTAATAGTGTAACACAGACAATTTTGTTTATTCCATTACATTTACGATCTCCAGCATTAAAATACAGTAGGCAGCCCTTGCAGTATGAGCTTTCCAAACACAACACTCCAGCCTCTAACCCACTGCAGACAACTGGTGAAACTATGAACTATCCTCTGCCCAAGAAACACCCTTATGACAAGGCTGCCTGGGAATACCACGGCCCTGGCTTGTGCAGCCACCCAACGCCTCACCGGTGTGTGAGTTACCTGAGTAGCAAAGATAGATCAGGAGAGTCCTGAGAGCACCCCAGCCACCTCACTGAATTATAATGCCAGAACACAGCAGGACTTGGAAACATCTTAGACATCCCTGCTTATATGG